AGTATTATAAAACAAATTTTTTTCACAGAGGGAGTTATCTTCTGGAGGAGTACAGGGGCAGACACACAAATAAATCAATGCTTACTTCCCCCTTACAGGGCTAGGATCGAGGACCAGGCTGAAAAACTAATTTAGCTAACCATGAGTGTATAAATGAACTAATTTCAGCTTAATACTATAGCTTAATAAATTTGGGAGAAAAAGAAAGACAAAGTAATATATAACTGGGATAGAAATCCAAACAAATCTATTTATTTGAGGATAACAGCTATGTCATTTCATTTCGTGGGAAATGACTTGGTGGTAGTGTTAAATATTCCACTAAAAATTATTCAAAAATTACACAATCTGGTAATCATAACTAAGTATACCACTGCTTGCTAAATATTTTTCCCATTTTCAAGTATTTCTAAATTATATTCTCATGATGCTTCTTTATAAAATACTACTCACTTGCAAGAGATGCAAGGTGAGGTTGGATATGTATCTCTTTAAGAAGCACTGCTGCAGGAAGGTGAATGGTAAGGTCGCACCAAGCCTCCTCTGGTAGAAAGATGTAGGACCATGCAGCAGAGCGAGCTCTTCTATGTGGAGGTGTAGCCTGCAAAAGCACTTCAGCTGGTTGGGCAGTAGGACTGCTCGATGTGATTGTACCTAGAGATGATATTTTAAATAAAATAAGAACTTGCAAAAAAAAATGCAATAAAGCATTAAGAAATAGTCAAATCATACTAATTAAACTAGGAAAATTAACTGAAATCATGAACATCTGATGTTATTAAAATAATCATCTTTATTCTAAGATGTTAATATCTAGGATGGTTATGAATTAGAAATAAGAAAAATATAAAAAAAACTATGTAGGCTGGAAAAAAGAGTAAATATCTAAATTCAAAACATTTTCTAAAGATAGTATCAGTTAAGAAGGAACAAGTCATTTCAATCTGATTAATATTTAAAAGGAAAACTGATATAAGAATCTCTAGTTTCATAAATTGTGTTTAAACTTAAAAATAAAAGGAAACTTTATTGCTAAAGAACTGTTAAAACATTCTTTCTAATCAGTAGCGTGTTTTGACATCCACTACCTTTAAATTCAACAGCTTGTAATTAAAACGTTAACAGTATCTCATCATCAACTTACTTCAACAACTAATTTGGCTTCATACCAGTGAATAAACAAAACAAATTCATATCATCAAGATTTAATAACACTTCTCTTACCCAGGGGTGCAAAGTTATGGATCCCTTCGGCATTGTCGGGCTCAGAAGCTAGTATTCTTGTTTTCAAAGTGCTGTCAACAGCTTTATTTGGACCAGAATCAAGAAATTTCATAATAGTAGATACCATGCTTCTTGCAGTGTTCACAATAGCCCTTGTACTAGTAACCATATTGTTGCATATGAGCTGAACACCACCTAAATTTACAAAGAATATAAAATGAAAACTACCTTAGGATAGATGGTTCAACGTCAAGAGTCAATTTTCACAAAAGACTACAAAAATGAGAACATACTATCACATGATTATACTTAAACAGTAGTTTCTGGAGTTTTATCTTACCCATATCGTGAAATGCTTTCAAGGCATCACTAGTATCCAACACTCTCAAAATGAACCACAATAATGGCTCGGATAACTGGCAAGTAGCAAGAGAGCCCTAAAAAATAAAATATGCACATGTTATTTTACATTTTCCTATGAATAAGGACTACTAAAATTCTTAGTAATGTAATATTCCTTTATAGTCAATTTTTGTAAATTCAGTCTGCCAAAATACATGAATCAGAAAGGAAGAGAAGTAGCTCCTCTCTGAACTCAGAGCAGTTTTTAAAGCATCTGTCTTCACCTATTATCTCTTTGTATTTTCCAATAGAGAAATAAATATATTCAACAAATATTTAGGAAAATGGTAATTATATACTGACATTAAAAAGACTCTAAGAAATTGTTTTAAAATCTGCATTTCAAAACGGTATATGGACTATAAAGTAATATAATCAAACTGGCTCCTAAAATTTCATTGTTAAAAAGGAACTACAAAAAGCAAAAATTTTCTTATTTTTCTTTTTAAATTGCACTAATTCCTTCTAACTAAAAGAAAGCTAAATATGCAACATAAATTTGAAAAAATACTCATATTAAATTTTCTTATAGAACATCTTGGTATTCCAGTGTGCTATTTTTAGGGAAACGGAAAGATCTACTTCTTGGGATTATAGAAAAAAATCTAAAATTTAAGAACACATTAAATGCTTTATTCTTATATTACTGTGGTCATCTTTGAAAATACCACTTCAAGGAAGCTTTACTGTGCAACTTTTATTAATAATCCATAGCCCTTACCTACTGATGCTTTTCACTGTCCAATATATAATATGA